TGGCCCTGCCAAGGCAACTGCAGATGGGACTCGAAATTATATAAATCTAGAAGCTTTTTTCATGGGAACATAAATTTATATTCAGTGAATTATATTAAGGGAATGATGTTATAAATATCCAAATGGCCCTTTGCAGAAAAAAAGGTTTCCCACCTGTTTTAAGGACTCACCTGATTAGGCCAGATACATTCAGGATACTTATATCCTTTTTGATTAACGAAGTAAACTGAGTAGGGATCTTAAAATCCCTTTTGCAACGTAAGGCAACATACATAATTTACTGGTTCTACCTAAACTCAAGAGCAGGGGACTATACAGGATATGTACACGAGAGGGCAGGAATCTTGGGGCTATCCTAGGATTCTACCTACCACAGAGTGATTCTTGGATGTATCCAAATAAGCAGGGGAGAAATCTTTTTGGTTCTCTTTGTATCATATTTATGAGAACAAACATTACTGGGAGTACTAAGCCAGCTGTATTGCATGGCTTAACCATGGTGAAATTGTTAAACAGGGAGAAAAGGGGACAGGGTGAACCTGAAGATTTGGGACAGCCTTGCAATGGCAATGGTAGAGTGAGCTTATGAATGAGTGAATTCAAGTTTCGCTGGACTGTTACTTAGGGAAAGGAATAGATATTTTAAAGAAGGAAAATGAGATAGTTTTCCCTGGAAGAGCTCTATTATTAGTGTCTGTCTGTTTGCCTCTGGTGGACACATAATACTGTTAATTCTCTATAGCCAAAGGACAAAACTGAAAGCAAAGTCATTACAGAGTTTTCCTTCCCTTCCCTAAGAGATAAACATTATTGTAGCCACTGATGAGTGAAATTTTCACTTGTTAATGCATGGCAGGAATCTGTTATTGCTTCTCAGCAAATAAAGAAAAATACCAGGGAAGAGGTGAGGATTCCTAGCCCTGAAGGCTGTATTGTGAGAGCTGGTTCTTCCCAGGAACCATAACTTGGCTGCCCACTCTGGAGCTCACATATTAGTCTTTGCATCTGCAAATCCACAGTCCCTGAGCAGCAGGCAGTTTAGCAGCCCAGAAACTCAGAGCTGGCCTGCCCAGTAGGCACAGTAAGAATGTGTTTAGGGCATCAAAAATCAGGGGCACCAAAAACTGCTTTTTTCAAATAACCTGATATTTAATAAGAAAAGATAATTTTGCTGAACTTCATTACATTTATTTTACAATATGATAATTTATTCTTTAATTTGAGACCTACTGCAAAAAGGTGGAGGTGGACAAGTAGGGAGTATAATCTTTTTGGTGTTTGTGGCCTTTAGAATCTAGTGGGCTTAAGCAATGCCCAGGGAATTGTATAATGAAACAGGAAGAATCTGCTAGAGATGACATCTTCCAACCTGTTGCTTCCAGGTAGAATCATACCTAAACCATTTTCACACAGAATCAGAAAATGTGCACTCCATGTTTTGTTCTGTGCTATATCCCAGCACCTAGTTCTGTGCCTGGCACATAATAGCTATTTAGAAAACATTCCATGTGTGGATGGGTGTTTCCATTTTCATCAGTTTCTTCCCCCATGTGGCCCAGTCTCCCTTCACTCCCGAAAGATTCCAAGGAATAATCAGATAACATTTTGTGTTTCTCAAACTGCCTGTTGATAAAAAAAATAACCCAGGGCCACTTTTCAAATACACAGATTACTAGGCCTCTCTGTGGGAAACTTTGGTTTAAGAAATCTAGGCTGGAGCCCAAGAATCTGTGTTTTTGATAATTACTTCTGATGAGTCTTCATTTTAGATCAATATTGAGATAAATAGCAGGAGCTCAGCTCTCACCACACAAAGATTGAGGAGCCACAGCCACTTGATCCAGTTCTGAGAGAGTGAGGGGCTGTAAGAGTTCTGGTCTGTTCCCAAGTCACATGGGCCCAGCTCCAAATCCTGGTTCCTCCCTTCCTAAAGGAATGGATCTAGGAGAGGAAGTACTTGGAAGCCCCTCTATTTTTGGGACTGCCCACTGAACTTCATGCCTCGTCTTTCCCCTAGGCAAGCTTTCTGTTCTGTCCCTTCTCCCAGCCACAACTAGCATATTAATTCACAGCCACCTCTGTTGGGTAGGAGTTGACCTCTGCATCCAGAAAGAAGCTAACTTTTTAGTCAATCTTGGTCACTGAATCTGAGTGTCCCTCTGATGGTGGCTAAATAAAGCCTCTGTTTTTAGCACTCCCCTTTACTTTACACTTGAGAAAAGGGAAGATCTTATCCACATATGGCCCGCTCTTTCTATCCCAAGGCCTCCCATACCTCATCTGATGCCTGAAGAGGCTGACTTCTCACTCAGCAATTCCTCCTAGGTTTTCTTATCCCCAGGACCTAGTGACTCCTGACTGGTTCCCCAAACACTTATAGTTTCCAAGGAAAGGACTGAAGTTTTAGAGTAGCTCAAGGAAAAAAGTTGCTGCTTTTATTCTTGGCTCCACAAAACTCTTTCCTAAAATACTATCTCCTACCCAGGAAGATGATCGTGGGATCTCTAACCCTTGGGCTTGAATTCTTGGCAATTAAATACAAAGAAAGGATAAATCTAGGTCAAAGGGAGTAATCTGCTCTGTAGCTGAAGGTGAGAGAATATAACAGACTATTTATTATTATGGTTGGCTAATACAATAGCCACCTATGGCTATTTATATTAATTTAAATTTTTTAAATTAAAAATTTAAAAGTACTTAATAGCCAATGTACCACATTGAATGGCACAGTTATAGAGAGCATTTCATCAGCACTGTTTCAGGGGCATGGCATTGCCCTTTGACCCTGTCAATGTGGTGTTTCTTTAGCATCTTTGGAAATATGGCTTTGTTTCTATTGGTACTCTTTGTGGGTATGATGCATTATTCTAGAAAAACACACTACTGATGACTGAATTAAAACACAAAAGCAAAACCAAAAATAACTGCCATAAATGCAGTAGTTGGAGGGAGGTACATTATCAAAAGGCTGCATTTTCCCCAGTTTTCTTTTTTCTAATCCCTTTCTGCAAAAGCATTCTTCCTTCTTTTTCATTTACCTTTCTGTTCTATCTGTAGAGTATCTTATTCTAGGTATGGCTTCTCAGACAAAGTGAAATGGTAGACTTGACCTCAAAAAGAAAAGGATCAGAAAAAAAACCAAAAGTCTGTTTAGGGCACAGGAATACACATTTGGGCAGAATGCCCCCAAATCACATACCAGGAAAAAGGAAAAGAACCAGAAAGACAAAATGAGACTGGGAGGAGCTAATGAGCCCAGGACAGGGGTCTAGTCTGGAAAGTAGGTCTGGAGGGTAAGGCAGACTGGGCCAGTGCTCACAATTCCTGAGGCTAGCAGGCTGCCCAGGTGCTCAGGAGTTCCTTTGTGCAAGAATTTCCTCTTCAGAATCCTCCCTCTTAGGAGCAGCTTCTTCCATAAGAATTTGCCTTCAACTCATGAGTGATCACCATCCTAGACTCAGTGTGTACATGAAGAAGATATAATGGGTTAATTTCTGTGCTTTGAGGAAGGAGGCCTCCATCCCTGATCTCTTGGATGAGTTGCAAGGACTGTGCTCCTCTCCTTACCAGCACTGTCTGTGGTTTCTCTCTCTTAACACCCATACCCATGTAATGGGATCTTTAATGCTTGTGTTCTCCCCTAGGTGAAACTAGGGAGACTGAGTAATGCTTTGAAACATGGCAGGCAATGAGGTTGGCAGGTCAAAGGCAGGATAAGGTTTAAATAGTGAGGGTCAGGAGCCAAGGTTCACAGGAGACAGAAAGCAGGGCAAGCAAGGGGCAAATTGAGGTGGGCATTAGGAGCAGGTGTGTAGAACTATACACTGAGTGGCCAGATTATTATGACTGGCCAGATGATTATGACCACCCCATCAGTACTTTGTTGGGCCACCTTTTGCCTTCAATACTGCAGCGATTCTTCTTGGCATTGACTCCATGAGATGTTGAAAGGTGATGCGAGGAATCTGACACCATGCCTGATGAATAGCACTGTCCAGTTCTGTGAGATTTGATGGTTGTGGAACCAGCTGCCTGATGGCCCTTTTAACTTCGTCCCACAAATGCTCAATTGGATTGAGATATGGTGATTGGGGGGGCCACCTAAGCAAGGTACAGTCTCCCTCATGTCCTTGAAACCACTCCTGCACAATATGAGCACCGTGGCATGGCGCATTGTCTTGTTGGAAGAAGCCATCTCCATTGGGATACGCCATCAACATGATAGGATGAACTTGATCAGCAACGATACTTAGGTATGTTGTGCTATTCAGACGTTTATAATGGTCTGGCCCTCTAGCAACTTCAGCACGAAATTATAGTTAATTTGCCTACAAACGTCAGGTGGTCATATCAATCTGGCCACTCCGTGTATATAGTTCTGCAGCCCTGCAGCCAGAAGACTGGAGATGGGGCAACTTTTTGGACTCATCCCTGAGGCTTTTCTCTGCTTTCTTGGAAGGTAGGACCCACCCCCCACCCCTAAGCATGGCTGGCCACAGGCTTGTCCAGGTTGATCACAGTACAAAGTGAAGGTGTGGATAAGAAGTTAGCTGGTTGCCAAAACCGGTTTGGCTCAGTGGATAGAGCGTCGGCCTGCGCACTGAAAGGTCCCAGGTTCGATTCCGGTCAAGGGCATGTACCTTGGTTGCGGGCACATCCCCAGTGGGGAGTGTGCAGGAGGCAGCTGGTCGATGTTTCTCTCTCATCGATGTTTCTAACTCTCTATCTCTCTCCTTTCCTCTCTGTAAAAACTCAATAAAATATATTAAAAAAAAAAAAAAAAAAAGAAGTTAGCTGGTTGGTGTTCTGGGGTTTCCCATCCCTTGGAGGGGGGCAAAGGTTGTTCCTCTCTGTATTGTAAACTTCAAATCTTTCTTCAGTCTTGAGTGAGTTCCCAATGTGAATGCAGCAATCAGGACTTCCACTCTACCTGGACTCCGCCCCTGCCCCCTTCCACCCCAGTGTCTGCCAAATGCACAGTTTAAAGCTACTGATGTATAATGCCCCATTTCCCTTTTTGTCTTGCAGCTGTCTCCAACCTGGACATTGAGAGTAAGCTGAGCGTGTACTACCGTGCACCGTGGCACCAGCAGAGAAACATCTTCCTCCCGGCCACGAGGCCACCCTGTGTGGAGGAACTGCACCGCCATGCCCGGCAGAGCCTGCAAGCCCTGCGCAGAGGTAATTAATCCCAGGCTTGGAGGGCTTTTCAAGGAGAGAACTCAGAGAATGTCCCATTCAGTTGTTCTCTCTCCCATTACTCGCAACACTTCCTTTTGTTATAGCAAGTATTTTGAAACACTCCCTTTTCTAACCTGAAATGAAATCATAGATAATATAAACTACCTATACACATAATTAAAAGTAGCATTATGGTCTAAATATGAAAATAAACAGAATTTAAAAGGAAAATATTTATTGTGATAGTAATACTTGCAACATGCAAATGCCTGGGCATGACTACACTAGAACACATAATGAAGCAGGGTTTACACCTATCAAAGTAGCTTTGAATTAAAAACAATCACAAGTCATTCTGAAAAAAAAAAATTATTGGGGAATGAAGGGGTTGAGGGGTAAGAGGACACACCATAAACACTGGTGTATTCAGAGTACATGAAACATGATCCCCAAAACCACACACACCCTTGGATTATAACTAAAAGGGATTTAGGTTTGATTCAGAAATAGGTTCTAGAGTTTCCCTTTACAAGAAGTTCTGGCGGGATATTTGTGGGACTTGGGGCACTGTTTCATTGTTCAGGACTGTCCTGTACATTGTACATTTTACATTGTACATTGTAGGACAGCTGTCATCCTTGGCTCCTGTCCAGTCATCAAACAACCAGACCTCTCCCATAGAGCTCTTCTGCTCCTGCTGAGAATCAGTGATCTGGTCTATTCTACAGTGGAGCACGTGGAGGCCTAGAGATGTCAGGAAACTTGCTCAGGGTCACATATAGCAGGTTAGGTACAGTGCCAGGACCCAGACCTGGGCCTCCAGACCTCCAGCCAGAGCTCTTTCCCTCTTCACTATACACCGTGTTCTAGGTAAATAACTAAATATTTCTATTTTGGTTTCTCTCACAGTCCTGAGAAAGCTGGACTTAGGCACATAGCAGTTAAGGTAAAAGATACAGCCCTTTCTTACACTGGTTACTTTTCAATGCCTTAAAATCATTTTAATTAGGACAAGGAGATTACAATCTGGTATCATTCTCTTAGAAACTCCTAACTTGGGTATCAGAAGTTCGCATGTCAGCTTTTTTTGGCCTTTATATTTGTGCTATGGAGAAGATAGTGCCTGTACATTCAATGTCTTTGTTCCACATTCTTAATGCTCCTTTAAAAAACTGTATCTTGCCCTAATCGGTTTGGCTCAGTGGATAGAGTGTTGGCCTGTGGACTGAAAGGTCCCAGGTTCAATTCCAGTCAAGGGCATGTACTTTGGTTGCAGGCACATCACCAGTAGGGGGTGTGCAGGAGGCAGCTAATCGATGTTTCTCTTTTATCGATGCTTCTAACTCTCTATCCCTCTCTCTTCCTCTCTGTAAAAAATCAATAAAATATTTTAAAAAAACTGTATCTTGCAAAAGTATTAATATTCAAATAAAATATTTTAAAGTCACTATCAAAATGGGGAAATAAATTGACAAATGTTGGTTTCAGCTTATTTTTTCCACATATGTATGACTTCTCCCTTTTCTCCAATTCCTAGTCATTTTCCCCTTTAATAAAAGAGCTAACCTACTGATATCCCTAACACAATTGTTTCTCAAAATTCCCCTTGGTTATTATTAGTAGACACTGTGATGCTTACAATGAAGAATGATGATCAGTATCCTCTAGAAAGAAGTATCTCTGGAATTTTTATTATTTCTTTGATATTATACATGGCTTAAAAGGCCTTCTTTACCAAATTTTTAGTGCAAGCCACCTTCTGGAAATATTCCCTAAAACTCTTGCCATTCCTTTGCAGGTTGGATTAGACACCCTTCCCATAATATCCTGTGCATCTTACCATCATGTCACTTATAAGCTTATATTATAACTAAAAACCTATAGGCCTATCTTCCACCATTACTCCATGAGCAACTCAAGGGCAAGGATATCTTACTAAATTTTTTTTTATTCCAAGCATTTAACATGAATGTGACATATAATAGGTCCTCAATGGATGTGCAACTGAATGAAATTCTGCAGAAAACTGGTTGAGCATTGAGGGCACAGAATGATGACAGGGAAATGTGATCATTCTCACTAAATACTTTCTTTGATCCCATCATTAGAGAGCTCGAGTAACATTAGCCCTTTAGCCATAATTGTTTTTATCCATTTATTATTATTATTCATAAATCAGTCTTGATTCAATTTTTTCCAGATTCAACCAGATAACTTTAAGCTGTTCATAGCTATCATATTTCACTGTGTTGTCAGGTTTGAGCTTAATGGCATAACTGAGAAACAGCAAGTGCCAATATCAGTTTTCTGTGAACTTCCTTCTAGGGGCTGAGAGAGGGATGTGGGGGCTCGTGGGGTTTGGAAGGAAGACCCTGGAGCTGCATCTTGCCTCCACAGACTGGCTGGCTTTGTGGTTGTCTCAATAACAAATCTTGGGTGTGGTGGTTTTAATAGCACTGCAGAGAGCCATAAACAGAAATTATAGGCATCATAGAATTAAAAACATGCAGTGTAGAATTAAAATTAGAAAGTGAGGTTTTTTTTTAACCTTGTCCAAGAAACACAGCGGCTTAGCAGTGCCATCAACAGAATAGTACTTCTGCCATCTGGTGGCCATGACTAATTCTGACCTATTAGACAATGGCCTTGCTCAGCAAATGCTGCAGTGAGTTTCCCTGTAGATTTTCTATTTGGACAGCTGGAATATCCTGGCTTCCACCAGCGGGGAGAGGATACTGAAGCTATAAGGAGGGAGCTGGAGTATTGAGATCAGAACCTAGAAATTGGCTGCATTCAAGATCTGTTCAATAGCAAACCACTCAACAATGTCTGTTGAGGGTCAGACATTGTGATAAACCTGGGATTCAGACAGCAATAATGTTATTGTCCCTGCCCACAAGGAATTCCTGATCTAGTTAGGAAGATAAGTAACCAGGTAATTTCAACATTGTGATATGAGGCTCAGAGAAAAGGCAATAATTATGTCATGGAGCTTCAGGGAAGGCTCCCCAGGAGAACTAGCATCTTAATGTATTTCAAGTTATTTAGAATCTGTTTCCTCTTTTTCCTCCATTTCTTAGCAATTCTTTATACTCAGAGACAATAATGGCTTTGAGTAATGCCATTGTTTATGTTTGTAAGATAGGGAGAGATTACTAGATGGCTAAAAAGAGATATTTATATTTTATATTTCCTTTCCTTTCAAGTTGCAGGGCTAAGGTTTAAGTTCCATTTACCTACAGTAATAAGAACCAAGGGTTGACTGTAGTGTCAGGCTCTAGTAGACAAATGTTCTCCCCACCCCACCACCAGAGAAGAGCATTATCAGGGAGCCATTAATCTAGCCTGCTTGCTCCCTGCCTAGGGTTAATGAAAGAGATCTATTTAAGAAAGTGTAGGACGGAAGCAATTGAATGGGAAATTGAGTCAATGTCTCCCTCCGGACTCCTCCCTTTCTTCCACCTTTTCCTAACTATTGACACCTGTATTCTATTCTTCATTATGAATTTAAGACTGCCAAAGCTTTCCCTTGCACTGCTCATTTAGTAAAAAGCCCACTGTTTGCTTGTAGAGAAAAATGAGGGTGGTACTGGAGGTAGGCACTGTAACAAAGAAGACATTTATCTAAAAAAATGTAGTTCTGTTTCCTGATAAACATTGGCTGTGAAGGCAGTTTAGCTAAGACTAACTACATGGTGATGAAGACTTTTTCTGTTTGCTAATTGGAGTCAACATTTGACTAAAGAATCCCAAGAAAAGGAAGATGAGGAATACTACCATGTTTTCCTGCCACAAACAAAGTCAGTAGTTTAGGCAGAGAGGCCCACAGATAGCCAAATCAGACATAGAAAGAAATATGAAAGCTCAAGAGTGCATGGGTAAATTTAGAGTGTAGCACACTGACTACAGTGAAGAGGAAATGGGGCTGGCGTTAACAAAGCCAGTGGAAACAGGCAACAGGACCTAGAGAAGGTCCTACCAATTAGTGAAAAAGATAGGGGTATGGAGTACACTCTAATATTAAAAGACTAGACTTTGACCAAAGTATTAATTCATTCTACCTTTCAGTCTCTCAACAAACATTTATTTAGACCACACTACATCTCAACCTAAATAAAATGTAGTCTCTGCCGTCCCACTAGTGATAAAGGCAGGCATATAGCGATATCTTGATTTTTATTAATACAGTGATAGAGTGATCAGGACTTTGGAGAAAGGGCTTACTTCTGATGTCACCTGAGAGGATCAGTATAGTTAGTTCTGTTTCCTAACATGGGTAAAAAAACAAGTAGTGTCTTATGAGCTGTCAAATATACTATATTCTATTATCAATATTCAAAGAATTAGAATGTGATAAAATATAATTATAATTCAATATTATAAAACCTAAGCAGTCTTGCTCTGATGAGTGAGAAAGTATGTTAGGGCCTTACAGTGCCTATAGATTAAGTAGTGGTAAAGAGCAGGGTCCTTGGGCCAAGTGTGTACCACTGATAGCTCGGCCTAGCCTCCCTGAGCCTGTTTAGGCATCTGCAGAAGAGGTGTGATGTCAGCACCTACTTCGAGATGCATATAAGAGCTTTAACAAAGTGTCTTTGGCATAGGGCAATTGCTCAGTAAATATTGGGCATCATAGTTATAATTATTGATGTTCTGAGTAATGGTGATTTTAAATAATAGAAGGGATGATTAAGAAATATGCTGTACCAATATGTACCTTCGTCATGATGTAGTCATGAGATTTCAGGTCCTGGGCATGAGTATAGGCTAGTTTTTGGCAGGTGGAATGGCGTTTGGTGTGGCCAGTGTGTTAGGCTGGGCATGCCTTGGGGCTTATTTAAACACCCAGAAAGCTAAATGGTTCTCTTAGTGTCTCAGTGATTCTTGCTATGAAGTCAGCACCATTTCATCCCACATATGAAAATTTCTTGGCTTTGCCCAGTGGTAGCTTTATTCCTAAATCAGACAACTGTTGTCATTGAGAGTTCTTTACTTTCCCTAGGAGTCCAGAGTTTCAAAGCCCTCTGAGTGTTATGGGTGACAGGGCTCAGGTGACTGAAATTGTGTGCTGGTTACAGGCTCTCTAAACAAACAAACAAAAGTAATAAAGTAAACAAAAAAACCAAAAGCCCTGACAGATAGTTCTCACCAATACCTGTGATATAAATTCTCACACTATGGCCTATTTCAAGCTACCAACAGTTTAAAACCTAGCTTGTAAAATTCCTGAACATACAGCACTCAGCACCCCTGAGCCTATATGAGCTGGTCCAGCACCTTCGAGATGGCTGTGAGCATTTATCCCTGGCACTCCCTGGGTGTCTCTGGCATGTCTGTGCCACCACATCTTCCACCATTGTTCTGGATATATTTTGCTCATGTTGTTTTGAAATGAAGCACATTTAGAAATATGCTGCTTTTTCCAAACTCAAGATTGAACCATTTTGTATGAAGATTATGAGATGGACCCACTGAAATGTAAGTGTATAACTTCATATTAATATGAAGTGAAAGTTTAGTTCAGAACCATTCTGAAAATCTTATTTGATATACAAATGAACTAACTTAGCAACTCACCTTTCTCCAGCCCTTTGCTCAGCCTCCCATCAAGACAAGAGACATTGAAAATGCGAAGTATGTTTATGCATTACTGCTTTTTCTGCCCCTAGAACATCGGAGCCGGAATGATCGCCGGGAGCAAAGAACTGCTGTGCCCCTTTCTGTAACTGCTCCTCCATTGCCAGCGTACCCCCCAGCTCACAGCCAGAGGAGGCGCGAAATTAAGGAACGTCACTTCTTAACGGTGAGCTTTGTGGCCAGCTGGCAGCCCTGTCCTTGCTCATCAGGAAGCAGGAGTAGGTTTTAGGAATTAGTTTCCCTCCTAGGGAAGGAGACTGGGCTGCCTGAGAGAGTGAATCATGTGCATTTGAAAACAACTTAATTTCCCCCCTTTCATTCCTGAAAAAATAATGCCTCTTTTTTTTTTTTTTTGCATAGAGTGGGGATACAGATATATATTTTTTTCAGTTCCTGGTTGTATAATGCAGTAAAGCAGTAACAGTTAAGGAATCTAAAAATCAGAGGTAAATTTTACTTCAAAACCTTCTTATGCACACAAACTGAAAGATTTAGGGCAGGTTACTTACCTTCTTTGCCTTCAGTTCCCTTGTCTGTAACACGAGGATATTAAGTGTACCTAGATTATAGTGTTTGCAGGTTAAATGAGACAAGGCATGAAAATAACTTAGCACAGTGCTTGGCATGGAGTAAGACCTCAATAAACGTTAACTACTACAACCACCACTATTATTCCTAGTCAAGTGAGAGTTTGGCTGATTCAATGGGATGAGCTGGGAGAGAACTTAAATGATGTGTTAACTTTCCATTTGTGCACAGTTCATTTCATCATTTCATGCTTCCCCATTCTATAAAGGAGGCTAATTCTTCAGGGTAGCCAATTACCAGAGTGATGTCATCACCAAAGGTGATTTCAGCCTTGCCCAGGTGGCTGTGGCTGTAGCTTAGACCAACCCCCAAGTATAGATCACAGATGATGAAGCTGAGCACAGCTCAGAACATCTGAATTCCCCTGCAGACTATTAGCAGCCACTGCACAAACCATCGGCCCAGATGTGCCTTCTGGGGCCTCAGTGGGAACAGCTTTGTGCCTCTGAGTAGGGCATCACTGTCATGAGGAGCTATGGTTTTTGTGACCAAATCAGCCCATACTGCCTGCCTGAATGGCTGGACCCCTGCTCTCTTGTCATTTTAGTTTGAGGCCCAAAGTCTAAAGAAGTTACAAGAGTGTGGTTACACGGTGAGATTTTTATTTGAATTAAATTTATGTGTATGACTATAAACCCTGCACCCTTATGGCTTTTACAATATGCAAAATAGATGCAAATTATTTGGGTCAGATGATGCCAAACATCCAGATAAACAGACTTCATCTGAATGAGTCTGCATGATATGACATATCCAGATAAAACAGTGAGTGATATTGGACAATACATAGACATATTTCCTACTTGTGGCTGGACAGTAAGCTTCATGTCCTTCAGACTCATAGAATGTCTACTGAGTGTCATGTCACCCTCACTACATTGCTGAAATGCAGCCCAGGAGTAAAGAAAGAAGGTAAGCACCTCTTAGAGTTTTCTAGGTCTTTTTATAGAGCAGTTACACATGCTAGTGATTTGTCATAAAAGCCCCTGCTCAACAAAAGCTCATATTAAGCTCAGCTCTGCTTGCTGAAGTATTTGCTTTTAATGAGGCATTTTCTGCATAAAATGCTAAAAATATTTTCCCCATTCGTTATATATGTCTTGTGGCTCATTAAGTTGGTTTTCTCGGGGGAGGGGAGAGAGGAATGTTGAGCATTTATAGAAATGACCTAAAAATATTACCCTTAGTCATATTCTGCATAATTTTTAATAATGTCTAAATACCAAAGTAAGACTACAGGAAAAGGCTTAAAATAATGAACAGCAATGAGGGTATTTACCCAACAAACATCAATAAGAGTGTAGATCATACTTATGTAAATTCCAGAAAATTTACCCATCTCAAATTGTAATAGTTAGTATTTAAGTAAGTTGGGGAAATTTAAAGTGTTTCATTTGTTCAATTGAGTTTGGGTCACCAGGATCATGGGAAGATTTCCCATTCATGTCATATCCCTCAGACTTGGAGCTGACTCAGAATAGAACATGGTTCTATGCAATTGGCTTACAGGACTGTATGTTACTGTAATAGAAAAAGCTGCAGGTATAAGGACAAAAAATTTGCAGCCAAGTTTCTAGATACACATTTTCTTAGATAGCAAATTGCTTGATAGACCTTTTCTTAGACAGCAACTCTCCTTTCAACTATAAGACTTTAGGTTAGCCATTTTTTCCTCCTATAAAAAAACATTCATAATGAGAGTATGATATACAATATTCCACAGCTCTGCAAACTGTGATACTGTACTTTGGTCATTAATGGCATGGACTGTGAAGCCAAACTGCCTGGACTTGAATACCAACTCTACCATTTACTAGCTGTGTGACCCTGGACAAGTGAATCATTTCAGTGACTCGAGGATAATGTAGATAATACCTCATAAGTTTGGAACAAGAATGTGTTTATACATGTCAACAGTACCTGATACCTAATAAGCAATATGTAGTAGACATAATCATTGTTATTTTTATTAGCCAATCAAGTCTCTGATGTATCACTGATATATGTAGTGATAATATTATAGGTCTAACTAGGTTTAAATCCTAGCTCTACAACTTTTTGGTTATGTGATTTGGAAGATTTTATTATATCTTTCTGAGTCCCAGTTTCTTTATCTGCAAAATGGGGATAATAGCTTCAATTTTACAAGGTTGTTAAAAAAGCTTAATACAATGTTATGTATGTTTAAATTGAGTGTGTGTGTGTGGGTGTGAAAGTATCAGCACAGTGCCTAAAATACATGAATATCTGAATCTATATTCATAATCACAATAAAACTCTTACCGTAACATTAAAAACCTATAATGTATACTCATGTATAAGACTGGAGGAAGTAAAAGTTGTCACATCTTTTCTACAGGGCAATTTCCCAATACTTATCAACACTATTATAGATTCATATCTCTTGATCCAGCAAGTCTATGTGTAGGAATTTATCTCAGGGCAATAACAAGAGTGATGCAAACATTTAATCACTAGGGTGTTCACCAAAATATTGTCTACAATAGGGAAAATAATTACAAATATCCTAAAAGTTCACCAGTAGAGATTTACTTTAATGAATTCTGTTATATGCATAAGTAAATATATAATATAAAAATGTATTATAGAAGAATATAATGACATAGAATATGTTTTATCATCAGGGATTTTTAAACAGTGTATAGTATGACCTCAAAAAATATCTATGAGTATATATGTGAGTATGTATACACATATGCAGAGGGAAAAAGGTTGAAAGGCTATCCACCATATACCGTGGTTCCCAAACTGTGTGATGAGGTACTCCAGGGCACTATAGTAAAATCATAAGGGTGACTTGGGTTATTTAAATTTTTCAAGGGACAAGGTGTCATTTGTCTAGTGACATTTGGTGATGGCTCCAAAGTAGCCTCATAGCTTCTATAAGTGGAAAGAGGGGAAACTTAGTTTCTTGACATTTGATTTCTATCAACAGTTCTCCAAGAGGAACTCACAGGAAACTGACCATCCAATTTAGCTTAAAACCCTCTGTCAGTTGAAAATTCTAGGGGTGTCTTCTAATTAAAGTGCATCTTGTAGTCCTCCCTCATCATGGATGGCAAAGGAGGTGATTTTAGGCTCAGATGGATTCCCAGAGGAATTGTTCTAAGCCTTCAAAGTCCAGATAATCCCAATGCTCTAATTTCAGAGCATTACAAAAGCATGGTACATTTATACCATGGAATACTATGCAGCAGTAAAAAGAAGGATATCTTATCCTTTGAGACAGCATGGAGAGACCTGGAGAGTATTATGCTAAGCGAAATAAGCCAGTCAGAGAAAGACAAGTGTCACATGATCTCATTCATATGTGGAATCTAATGAACAAAATAGGTCTAGAGAAATAGAAGCACAGAACAGACTGTGGAATCTCAGAGTGGGGGTGGGTGGATGGATGGGAAGAGATAAACCAAAAAACTTGTATGCATAGTGCATAAACCGTGGACAGACAATAGGGTGGTAAAGTCCTGGGGTGAGGGGCAGGGGCAGGCCAGAAGGGGTTCATCGGGAAAAAAAGAGTACATATGTGATTCTTTCAACAATATAGATTTAATTGTAAAAAGAAAATGAAGTAGAACGTCCCCATTTCTTACTTAAGGGGAAACAGGCATTTTCACTAAAATCTGGAACAAGGCAAGGATGCTCACCATCTCTGCTGCTAATTAGCATTATGTTAATCAATGCAACTAGACAAAATAAATCAATTATATAAGAATTGGTAAAGAAGAAGTAAACATATATCTAGTTGCAGATGATATGATACTATACCAGAAAAATCCTAGAGAATCAATGATAAAGCTGACGCAAACAAAAGAATTCAGCAAGTTAGTAGGATATAAACACACAAAAAGCAGTACCCTTCATTTAAACAAATGATAGACAACTAGAAGATCTAGTGGTAGGAAAAACTCCATTTACAGCAATAACAAAGAAGATTAAATACTTGGAATTAATTTTCCAGAAATGTACAAAACCTATCTGAAAAAAAAAACTTTAAAGCATTCTTTTTTTTTCCCATCTTTTTATTTGTTTTTTATCTTCAACTTTTTTTTAAATTAAATCTTTATTGTTCAGATTATTACATTTGTTCCTCTTTTTTTTCCCCCCATAACTCCCCTCCTCCCAGTTCCCGCCCCACCCTCCGCCCTCACTCCCCACCCACTGTCCTCATCCATAGGTGCACGATTTTTGTCCAGTCTCTTCCCGCATCTCCCACACCCCTTTCCCCCCGAAGAATAATCAGTCCATTCCCTTTCTATGTCCCTGATTCTATTATAATCACCAGTTCATTCTGTTCATCAGATTATTTATTCACTTGATTCTTAGATTCACTTGTTGATAGATGCATATTTGTTGTTCATAATTTGTATCTTTACCTTTTTCTTCCTCTTCCTCTTCCTCTTCTTAAAGGATACCTTTCAGCATTTCATATAATCCTGGTTTGGTGGTGATGAACTCCTTTAGCTTTTCCTTATCTGTGAAGCTCTTTATCTGACCTTCAATTCTGAATGATAGCTTTGCTGGATAAAGTAATCTTGGTTGTAGGTTCTTGGTATT